GGTGGCGATGTCGCCTCGCCCCGCCCCGTCCCCTCCCGCCGGCCGCTCCGCCCGCCTTCTCCGCTCATAAATATCGGGGTGCGGGCGGCGCCCGCCGCAGAGCCGCATTCTCCGCAGCCCCCGCAGCCATGAGCTCGTACGGCTACGACCCGTTCTTCCCGTCCTACAAGCGGCGCTACGCGGAGAGCCCGCGCATCCATGTGTCGGTGCGCAGCGGCGGCGGCTTCGGCTCTGCGCGCTCCGCGTACTCCAGCCTGTCCGCGCCCGTGTCCTCCGTGTCCGTGCGCCGCAGCTACGCCGCCTCCAGCGCCTCGGGCTCGCTGCTGCACTCGGTGGACAGCCTGGACCTGAGCCAGGTGGCCGCCATCAGCAACGACCTCAAATCCATCCGCAGCCAGGAGCGAGCGCAGCTGCAGGACCTCAACGACCGCTTCGCCTGCTTCATCGAGCGCGTCCACGAGCTGGAGCAGCAGAACAAGGTGCTGGAGGCCGAGCTGCTGGTGCTGCGGCAGAAACACGCCGAGCCCTCCCGCTTCCGCGCCCTGTACGAGCAGGAGATCCGCGAGCTGCGCTTGGCCGCGGAGGAGGCGACGAGCGAGAAGCAGGCGCTGCAGGGCGAGCGGGAGAGCCTGGAGGAGACGCTGCGCGGGCTCCAAGCGCGCTACGAGGAGGAGGTGCTGAGCCGCGAGGACGCGGAGGCGCGGCTGCTGGAGGTGCGCAAGGGCGCGGACGAGGCGGCGCTGGCCCGGGCGGAGCTGGAGAAGCGGGTGGACAGCCTGCTGGACGAGCTGGCCTTCCTCAAGAAGGTKCACGAGGAGGAGCTGGCCGAGCTGCAGGCTCAGATCCAGTACGCGCATCTCTCCGTGGAGATGGACGTGTCGGCCAAGCCCGACCTGTCGGCCGCGCTGCGCGACATCCGCGCTCAGTACGAGAAGCTGGCGGCGCGCAACATGCAGAACGCCGAGGAGTGGTTCCGCTCCCGCTTCACCGTGCTCAGCGAGAGCGCTGCCAAGAACACGGACGCCGTGAGAGCCGCCAAGGACGAGGTGTCCGAGAGCCGCCGGCTGCTCAAGGCCAAGACGCTGGAGATCGAGGCCACCCGCGGCATGAACGAGGCGCTGGAGAAGCAGCTGCAGGAGCTGGAGGAGAAGCAGAGCGCGGATATTTCCGCGCTGCAGGTGAGGGGAGGGGTTGGGAGGGTGGCGGGAGGTGTGGCGGTGACGGGATGATGGGGTTTGAAGGGTTTTGCAGGTGAGGAACGATGGAGGGGAGGGGATTTTGGGGTTTGAAGGGTTTTGCAGGGGAGGGGTGATGGAGTTTGTGAGATTTTGCAGCTGAGGGATGATGGAGTTTGTGGGGTTCTGGCGGTGAGGAACAATGGGATTTGTGAGGTTTTGCAGAGGAGGGGATTTTGGAGTTTGAAGGGTTTTGCAGGGGAGGGGGTGATGGGGTTTGTGGGGCTCTGTCAGTGAAGGGAT